TCACTATAGGCAAGTTTGCAATGCGCAAAATTATAAAAAAAAATAGTCCCGATGAATATTTCTATATCTTTATGTCATCAACTTACTTTATAAGGAAATCTTTGGAGAGAGTTCACAAAAAGGGAAGCAGGAATCAAAGATGTAAGGAAGTAATGGATTTTGCTTTACGTTGTCCAATCAAAGCACTGAATGTACTGATGGGGAGGCTATGACAGAATGTTTCAGACTTATAGTTTCTTTTCTTTTCGCTTAAAATGTGCTGTTATTTCAATTATTACCAAAATAAGAAGATATGCACATTGTGTCATTTATCCATACTGTTGTGTTCAACCATTCATATATATGGTTAATATGGTTGACTATTCATTTTGTTAATATTCCAGAACATTTCATTGAGGTCTACAGTCGGACTGCTAATCCTGCAAATTTTGAAAAACCTAAACTGTCAATAATAAATGACATACCAGAAAGTATGACGACTGTTCATTATAAGATAACAATAACATTTTACAACTGACTGTTCCTTATCAAAATATTCTAGGACTGTTCATCATAAATACTTAATGTCATTTTAATATCATTGAATGATAATAACAACTGCAAGTTATGCAACATTTTTATTGAACATAAAAATTATACATATTTACATGTCATGTACCATAATTGAGATCAATAAGATACTGTCTTGTGATGAGTATTAATATCCATGCTCTACGGACAGAAAGATGTTTTCTTCCGAAGCAAATCTGGAATAAAAATCACGTTTCAGAAAATTATTCCCATTTCATTACTCGTCGCTTAATTTTACGGCTTCGGATATTTATTAAAACTAAATATTTCTTGAAAAAATACATATCTGCAAAGCTTATTCAAAGTTGAATCAACCTAAGTGAAAATTGATCAGGAAGTTATATCTTCTTTTTTTACCGCCAACACTCAACCAACTTTGGTAGTTAATAGATAGATTCTACATGTATTTTTTAAACCTCACTAGCTTGAAATATAACTGCGGAAAATCTATTGTTAACAGGGTGTGCGGTTATTACGTAGGGTTTTCCCTGTCGACCATTTCCCGCAAATAGATGAGAACATCGAAGCGTCAGTGCTATGAATGGTGTTATAATTTATAAATAGCGTGTTTTGGAAGTTTTTTGTTGAAACTTCTCCAAATCCCTCCAGAGGCGTGCACGTCGCGGAGAATGCACACGGCAGGTCAAGGTCAAGTCATCTCAAGTACCAGAGGTGATTGGTTGTCCTTTCGTGACTTACTCTGGAGGTTTGGCGCTAATGAATGCCGTTTTTGTTGTCGTCAGTCAGGAAGTTGATGCCTTGCCAGTATTTTCGTCTCCTTTACCACCAACGAACGAAGAATGGGCTACCAGGAAGATTCGGCTTGAAAAAGACGTCCTCGATTCTATAATCTCGGACATATGGTTATTCCGGCCCCGAGTATAAATAAACTTAAAACACACACACTTTTGTTGAAAACAAAACAAAAAACAACAACACATTTTCTGTTGTATTTTTTCAAGTGTTGTAAAATGAATACGAAATTCCTCTTATGCCGCCGATTATTTTTAGAACATAAACATATAAATTTTTTTATTTGATTTATTCAAATAAACATTAATCACTTCAGCGCCCGCAAATATCGTTTTCAAATTAAAGTTTCGTAAGATATGTTGATGAATTCCCGATGCTAAACTGTAAGTCATTCGTATATATATATATATGCGTTTTTTGTTGTTGTTTTTTAAGCCTCTTATTTTTTTATTTTTTTTATGTATCTCATAATCTGTATTGAAAATTTGAATTTTATTACACATGGACTAGCAAATTATGATGCGTTGCCCTAGAATTGAATAAACTTTCTAATTACACAATACGGGATCATTCATTTGATTGAAGACTGATCTTTGCGTCTTTCTCTGAAATAATTATTTCCTTGTTAAAACATATTTGACCACATATTTCTGTCATTTAACTGTTCACTTTACAGCTATATGATATGGCGGTTTATGAGCGTTTTCCGCGTACAGCCTCCTAGGGTGTACTAATAAGTTAGTTTTCCTTAGTTATCACGCAAGCACGATCCATGTCTCTGATGTAAGCGACAATTTACCATTATTTGTCTTTAAAAAATATTAAGGACTATTAATGGTTTATATCAACAAAAGAACATGCATGATATTGAGACTACGTACGGTGTTGCAACGTTCTAGTTAATGACCCGTCATAAACAGTTGGTCGCTGCGTAGTAATTGGAAAATTGTTATCAAAAATAATAAAGAATATTTGCCACCTAATAAAAGCATTTACTTATAAATTTTCATTTATGCTTTTTGTTAAAAAATTATTGATAAAATTATTATGTAGAAGGGTTTTCATACCAGAACTATTTATTACAGACGTACGTATGCCTAAACCTGATTACCGCGGCAGTATGACGTCACGGAGTAGTGATTTTGAAAAAATAACAAACAAAAATCAAGAATTTTTCAGAGAATTATTATCTGATATGAAATTAAGGAATGAAAATATTTTCATATTGTAAATGTCTGTGATGAGTGATCAGTCAGCTTAGAAAAAATCAAGGTACTATTTTTTGACCTGATTACCGGGGCAGTAAGATTTGACAGATGGTTATTAACATTGGGTCGGCATAGCCTCCCCAAAAACAATAGGAACAACTCGGCTATTGGACTTGACAACCCCCGCTACGGCCAGTAAGGGGAGATATCACTGCGTGGGAGACTTGAAAGTGGTTTAAGATGTAGTGCAATCTTTGATCATTTATATATAGGAATGTAAAGTCTAAAATGATATAACTGAAAATATGTCTGAAAATCATATTCAATAACAAAAAATGTCCGATGATGTACAATTATAACCAAATCCGAGTTTATGTCAAGAGATAGACATTTTGTACTTTCGATTTCTACAACCATAATAATACTTATATGAACAACTTATTGTTTACTTTTATATGATCTATAGATAAATCTTGGTTTAATTTTACCCGATGTTTTTAATAGATTTAGATAACAACTCGTATAAATAAATTATCATTTCATGTTTAGTTTAGACCGAAATACCGGATAGATGCAAACAGCTATTTTTAGAAGTACATTAGCAGGACTTTACTATATATAGTAATAAAATCCTAACAGGCACAATTCTTTGTAATCAAAATTGTGTTTATTTAATGATAGGTGAGAATTGCGCAACACACATCAGATTTGAAGATATTGATTAAGGATTATATTTCATGTGTTTATAATATAACTAAAAAGGATTAAAAAAATCTGGATGATAAATGTATATGATCAGCTAAATAAGAGACTAATAATTATGAGAGTTGGTGTGAATCGTTTCATTTTTAGTGTTTTTGTGTTATATTTCCTGCCGTATTTTGTCAGAGGTTGGTAAACATTTACAGTGACGAATCTAATTATTTGTCTTATTAATTTTGCCATTAACTTTAGTAAAGTAAATTAAAGAAAAGCATTATTCTTATCGAGGAAAAGTGTATATGAAAATAATGAAAGAGATTAGTGTAGGCGGTTTAAAACATAATAGTCGTATTTTATATAGAAAATGTAATCAATAAAAGAAGCACTTAATTAACTTTAATTATACGTATGTACATAAATAAAGCATTTTATGTTTAGAATATATTTATTTGAAACGTTTAATGTGACATGTTTAAATATTATGTACAATAAATAAACAAAAGACATAAGAGCCGTGTCACGACAAAACCAACATAATGGCTTTGCGACCAATATGGATCCAGACCAGCCTGCGCATCCGCGCAGTCTGATCAGGATCAATGCTGTTCGTTATCAGTTTCTCTACTTGAAATAGAGTTGGTAAGCGAACAGCATGGATCCTGATCAGGATGCGCGGATGGGCGGATGCGCAGGCTGGTCTGGATCCATGCTGATCGCAAAGCCATTATGTTGGTTTTGTCGTGACACGGCTCATAAATTTCGACCAAATGAATCATTTGATTGGAACAAGAAAAAAGCCATTTGAGCAGTTTTTCAACCACACGGTTTTTCCAAAAACTCAAGTCTATTAATAACTTTATCTATAATAAGGTTCGCATACACATGTTTATTTACATTTGTCAATTTCATTCACACTGTGCCGTGCCCTTCTCGTGATTAACTGCTGAAAAAAATATCCTTATATAACTATCCAGGACTATAAACAAATTACAGTTTTCATGTATTATTTGCTAAATCTCAAATCAATATATGCACCTTAGTAAGCCTTTACTAAAATCCGTTTTCGGCTTGTCACTATATCATTTGTAGGTCAACGTTCATATGCAAAAATCTTTGTTGCTTAGTCAAATAATGGGAAACTGTAAATATTATTTCACTCTAAATGAATCTTACTAATTGAACATATATGAATAAGTTTTTTGTTGTTTTTGTTGTTGTTTTTGGGGGTTTTATTTTTACAAAATGCAGCTTTAATTGTTTAAAGCGATGCGGTAAATTATATTGACTTTAAACGAATACAATCGTAAGATAACTACATGTAATTTTTATCTGGCAATAATGTAATGGGATACCAAAAGTCTTACCGTATGTAGAATTGTTTATAGGCTATTTATTTATTTACTTATTTTTTTTTATTTATATCTGAATTCTGCATTAATTAAGAAGATGTTTAGCTTTCTGAGAGGATGCTGTCTTTTCCATATCTTCTTGTACTTAAATTACAATTAAGTTTCAATATGGGCGGTAAGAGTTAGTAAAAAGTTCATTTGGATTACTTTTTGAGAAATGGAAACGGTGATTATTGTAAACAAGTCACTAAATATGTTGAAATGGAAAATAAAAATGATTGTATACTATGTTAACTGTTACTTCGAAATATTCAAAGAAAGGTCGAAGTGCGCGTGTGCACGTGTGTGTATATGTGCGTGTGCGCGCTTGCGTGTGTGTGCGGTTCTCTACTTGCAATGAATCATTAAATTTTTATTTTGCAGGATTACAAAGACATAATAATGACCAAAAATGTTTGCCTGTCATCGCGTATCTGTTCTGGGATAGAATCGAAAGTGATGATGTTGATGTGCAAAAACATTACATTTATAAGATCATGAACAATACTCATGATGGTAGTAACATCCGTGTAGACACGTTAAACCATACGTCAATACTGACTCTAATAGAAGGTGTCAAAAATAAAGAAAACATGTTAAAATGGACCAAGATCATCCACGATTTTCCCAAAGGGACGGATGATGTAATTTCAGCAACGAGTTTGATCAATTCTCTATCAGTCTATCAAAGTGGACACACAAATGCTGCAACAGAGTTGTTTCTTGTGGTAAATGATGAAACAAAAGTGGATGATGAAGAAACACTAATTGAAGGAATAAAGACAATGAAAACATTTATTGTTTATTATGGGACGCAAAGTCCGTCTAAATTGTGGTATTGTCTTGCCACAGATAAAAACCACTTTCTAAACCTCAACAATGGACTTGATGCTGACATAGAGTCGTTTTTTCGCTTATCATGTCAAGGTAATCTTATATTTGTTTCTTTATTCACAGAATTCTAAATAAAATATTTTCAGCCCAAATATATTAGAAATTTGTCAGAAAGGTTGTTTCGTTGATTTCTAGCACAAGTTACAATATGAGTCATCTGGGTTAAAACACTAGTTCACCTAGTCAATATATGGAAAAAAAACTTTAGGTTTTGTGGTTTTCTATGTCAAAAAAAACAACCTCCAGAGCTTTTCATCTCAAATATCCTTAAAATATGTTAGAAAAGTTCATTAGATGATTTCTAGCTCACAATCGAATAATGGTAATCCATCTGGGGTTAAAAACTAGATCGCACAGTCTAAATGTGTATAAACCTTGTTTACATGTGCACTTTTTCAGATGCAAATATAACTTTGTGATAACAGTTTAAGTTAAGACATTATATTTGCTTTTCATTCATAGTGAACACTATTACCTTTTCCTTGTCATTAAGAGCCTCTTTAATCAGGTGAGCGATATTAGGGAAATAATGACCCCTTCTTTGTCATGATATATAACAATTATTTGTTTTATGCTTTTCAGTGGATCACTGATTCATCCGTGAAAATTATATTTGATAATTTCAATGTGAAAATTATCAAAATATAATTTCACACTTTTCAATGATGAGACTTCTTTTTTAAAAGTTTCCCCATGTGATACCTCGATCTTGTTATTGTTGACAATTCTCACAAGGCTGTTTAGAGAAAAGCAAAGCTGAATTTGATAAAAAAAAACTGAAATTTCAAAACTAATAAAAAGAAGAAAACTTTATTCAATTCATTCAAGTAACCAATCACTAAATATCGTCTCTAATTTTCGTTTCATTTTTACAGTCTGAAAAATACAATTCCTTCCACATGCAAAACTGCTCTTGATTACATTTGGGCATATTTAAGTATCTTACGAGCAAAACCTGCCTAATATCTTGAAAAGCAATGACAACCCAGCGTTCGTAAGGCAACCTTTCAAAAAGTCTAATTTCTTAGCCGCTTTTTTAATGTTTATACATCTGTCAACACTTATTTCTTGTCTGTAACAATCCTCAAATAAGTTTTCTTTCTTCTAAAAATATGTATGACTAACAAATCCAAATGATATCCCTCTGAATCAAACTCAATTATTTTCCTCCCGTGAAATACACAACTTTTAAAAATGGCGACCGCTTACATTTCACAGAACCAGGTCTAATAAGAATTCGCAGTAAGTAACAGAAAAATAAGGATGGATGGTTTGACTTTTCCTCCTTCTGTAATTGTTTGTTTTTATTATTAAAACAAGCGATAATTCATATTATTCGAATAAAAATGAATAATATCATCACCATTAAACGTTGATTGTCGAACTTATTTTTCAGCCAAAGACATTTATGAGAAATTCGACTAAATGAGGCTACCAGTGGGGAAAACAGATTTTAATATTAAAAATTTCATATAAACTTGTTTTTAAGCATAACATAAAAAGGAAATTTGTTCGTTTGTTGTGTAAGATGTAATTTTATTTCATCTCGTGAACTTTAAAAACAGTATTCTCACTCGTGGCTACGCCACTTGTAAGAAGACTGTTTTTAAAGCTCACTCGATGAATCTTACATACAAACAAACAAATATCCTCTATATAGTTCTAACAATCATAGTAAGTTAACGAATTAATTGCTTCCCCTTTTATACAGTTCCCTCTAATTCGTAGATATAACTACCTATTCTTATATCTAACAGACTATAGAACTACCTATTCTTATTTTTAACAGACTCAAACCTGACGTGCAACAACTACATGTACTGGACCGGAAATGAATGTAAAACATGTACACACATCTGCTCTAGACAACCGTCTGAAGATCCGCCATTTTGTTGTCAATCTTGTCCGTGTAAGTTTCTTTATTTTTTAGTTAATACAAATTTATTTTAGTTCGATTGTGTTGGAAACTGCTAAAACCTTATTGAAAGACTCTTGACTCCGTTCCTGGAACCAACCAGTACTAAGCAAAGAATGTAAAGTTTCTTGCGTAAGGAAACAACGGCTAGCCCCAGACACGATCAGAAATCCTTAGATAACTAGTATGACGCTTTAACCACTCGGTCATGCCGCCCTCCTAAATTTAATCACTATGTTTTAATTCGTAATTTTTTAAAAATCTCTATCAATTATCATTAAATATTGACCATTTATCTTCCCTTACAGTTTATCAAAGCGTTGAAACAAAGCAGATCTCAACTTACAATCATCTGTACTAAGTTACCTTTATGAGTGACTGTCGATAAAGAAAGATTGATCTTTTAAAATTGCCTGTAGTATGATATTAGATTACATAGAATATAATAGCTTCGAATACGAAAACTAAGATTTCAAAAAAAGCATAAATACAAAACTGTCCATAACAACAGTTTTTCAATAAATAACTAACATAATTGATTGTAGTTTGACTATTCAAAAGAAAACACCAACAAAGCAACACATGCTTAAGTTTTCAATTGTGTGTGACTGAATTTAATGATAGTATTGATAAGAAACAAAAGGTTTATGAAATAATTTATTAAAAATGGTATGTCATTGAATATAAAATCTCATAACTTTTTACTGAATTATACCCCATTGTAAAATGTTGCCGGTACAACCCAAACCAAGCTATTTGATATCATCATTTCATGCAAACAGTTTGGATGTAAAGAGACTCTTAGCAAAATGTTTATGTAAAATGTGTGTCGATTATTTTATGTTACTTTCGGTTTCAAAGGTCATGATAACTGAAAGAACTTTCAGCTTAAATGTTGGAACGCGAACCGACACCTTCGTTCCATAAGCTAGCTGGAGAACTTTCTTACAGAAATAAGCCAAAGTACCTAGCGGGTTGCAAACCCAGGGCAGTGAGGGGAGCAAGTGGTTTTGTGTTAATGAACATTTTGATATATTTTGGTGACAAAACCTTATGTTCAGTGCAACCCCGAGTGTCACTCTTCTGAAAACGATTTTCGTTTAAAGTGAGATTATTTATGGGCAGGGAGTGGGAAAAACACATACAAAATTACTATTTTTTATTATCCTTCGTTATTTCTTCAGATTTTCGCCAAACCAAGGATGAAAGCAAGTGTAACGTAAAATCCTCGGCGATGTCTTGCATGAGTAAGGGCCATTTTGCTATTGTCGTCGGTATTATTGGTTATATAAATAAAGTGGCAGCAGTTTGGAACAAGACAGTAGTATAAATCGAGAGACGTGCTGCTTTAATACTTTTATCTAATATATGCAAATGCTTTTCAGAACATAATAACTATTTTGTGTAAATATTTGTGTCTTTTTTGTGTCACCTCTACGGAGTAGTGGCGACATACAGGGATCACTTCTCCTGTCTGTCCATCTGTCCGTCGGTCAAATAACTTGTCCGGACTACTCCTCATAAACCACTGGCGCAATTTTATCCAAACTTGACAAGAATTATCAGAACCAAGTCTAGTTGTGCATATCGTCAGCATTTTCCGGTTCAATAAATTTTGTCGGAGTTATGGCCCTTTAATCTTCTTTTATTTTTTAAAGTGTGTCCGGACTACTCCTCTTATACCATTGAAACGTTACAGGATTGATTGGTAGATCAAGTATTTGCGCATATTACATGGGTTTTTCGCTTGAATGTTTTTTGGCTGAGTTATTGCCATTGAATAAGAAATGTGGTTTTTTTTTTTTGGTGTTTGTTTTTGTTGCCAGCTACTCGGAAGTTTGTCTGGACTATACCTCAGAAACTACTGGTGCAATTTCATCAAAACTTTACTGGAATGATCAATACCCTGTCTAACTTAATAAAAGTAGCTGTTTCTGTTTACAATTCATTTACATGCAAATTATTAACGACAGAATATTTACCTATATGACATGACAATAAACAACCAAGAGCACCGCTAGGCGGAGCATTATATGCCCGAAAGTTTTTTTTTTTTTTTTTTTTTTGTTTTTTTTTTTTTGTGTTAATTAAGGATGAAGCATTTGTAAGACATGGGAATTAGCTGTTCATGCTATAAAATTTTATAGCTGTGGGTTGATTAATTCTTAAGTTATTAATAATGACCTTAACCTTTGACCTTATGACCCTAAATTCAATAAGAATCTTCTACCTTATATGGGCAATCATCCTAGGAAGTTTGAATATTGTGGGCCAATTGGAACTTTTATTATGCTCTAGAAACTGTTTTCAGTATTAAGATAAAGTGATTTTGACCTTTGGCCTTGTGACCCCAAAATCAATAGGGGTCTTCTACCCAATATTGACAATCATCCAATGAAGTTTGAACATTGTTGGCCAAATGGAACTTAAATTGAGCTCCGGAAACTGTTTTCAGTATCAAGGTAAAAGTGACCTTGACCTTTGACCTTTTGACCCCAAAATCAATAGGGGTCTTCTACCCAATATGGACAATCATCCTATGTAGTTTGAACATTGTGGGCCAAATGGAACTTAAGTTATGCTCCGGAAACTGTTTTCAGTATCAAGGTGATAGTGACCTTGACCTTTGACCTTTTGACAACAAAATCAATAGGGGTCTTTTACCCAATATGGACAATCATCCTATGAAGTTTGAACATTGTGGGCCAAATGGAACTTAAATTATGCTCCGGAAACCAAATTGCTAACGGACGGACGTACGGACAGACGGACAGACAGACAGACGGATGCCAGGGGGTATAACATAATATGCCCTTTCGGGCATATAAAAATATATGAAACATTCATTCTCACCATTTTAGCTATAACATGAGAGAACTGTGCTGTTATTATTCTTATAGTGGGAACAATGATATTGTTGTTACCTTTACTTATTTCTCGTTGACAATTAAGTGATTGATTATATGAAGATTGGCAAGATTTTTTCAAGATTTTATTTACAATAGAGGCAAACATCTCAGAAACATTCGCAGTACATGCATATCATATTTTATTATCAATTGCGTTGTATCATTTCGTATCATATGATTGGGTTTTTAAGCTCTTTTATATGATTGAAGTTTATGGCAACTCTGAAACGAGTATATAATTTATTTAAAGAAAAAAAAGGATAGATCCATCAATATGAACTGCGTCGTATCTACAGAACCTCATAAAATTCTGGAGCGTGTTAATACATATAGATCTATCGTCCAACAAAAAAAATAATAAACAAAATATGCCCTTTTTATTCAAAGATGGCGGCGTTTGTATACGAAGCAGTTCTGATTCTCAGCCCTGATTTTTTTATACGTTTGTATCGGATGTGTTATTTTTAATTATTTTGTAGGTAAATATCTTATAACTTTTGAAATGTTGTTTTATCAACCATTTACTACTGCAATCAAAATATCCAAGTTTTCAAGTTTATTTGAATACCTCCGTTATGGGATCTGTAGCTAGTTGAATAACCACCTGTCTCTTACAATAGTATTTCAATAATAACTGAATAATCGTCGTTAAACCAGTTCTAAATGTGCAAGAGGATTTTTGTCTTTTCATATTTGTGGTTAAAGACTTTAGAGTTTTAACTTTAAGTGACATTATGCTCATTTGTCAACTGCCAAGTCGAGCTGAATTGATTACAAATTTAAGAGATTGACTGTAAAATTGTGATTGACCAAAAGTTTATATTGGAAAATGCTAACTAAAAAGGATAAGATATAAATCTGCCTAAAATATAAAAGGACTGTCCCACTCTTTTATATATATAATTGAACGTATCAGGTACATTCCGATGAATAATTACTGTCAATAGTGTACATACAAAGGTTTCCTTGGACCATGTGAATTAGTCAGCGTTCATGCGAAGAAAATTATTAAATTGAAAGAAATTATCGCAAAATCTTACCAAATGTTCACTCATAATATACCCATGGATGGGCATAATCTCACTTTAACATACTTAATATGTAATTGTTGCATAGTAATAAAAATGTTGTATTTAAGAGAAACATATCTGGCATAACATACGAAAATTCTAAATTCTAAATATTTTCAAATCATTTTTACTTTAATGTCAGTCATTCCCATTTTTTCAACTTTATTCAAGATATACTCCATGTAAGAATAGATATATTTGTAATTAGATTATTTTAAATGTGTATGAAATATGTACAGTACTTATTTTTATACAGTAACTTTACAGTTTTTGTGGTGCTGCTGCTGCTGCTGCTTCTGCTGCTGTTGTTGTTGTTGTTGTTTTTATTTGCTTTGATTTTCCCTCTTTTCGCTTTGGTCTGTTTGTTTATTTCAGCATTTGGAAACTCAAAAAAAAGTTGGTAATCATGTATTTAAATAAACGACCATGTTGAACATAACTCATTACAGAAACAAACATATTAAAATATCTTTTAAAATACTATCAATCAAAATGAGTATTTTTTAATTTGGAACAAAAAAAATAAAAAAGGAAAACTGCGATATCTTAACAACAATAGTGCAGCAACAGCAACAACAAATGCATATTTTAATCTTTATTAATTTACTTTTTAGATTTTGGCCTAGAGTGAGTATTATGAATGAATGCTGTTTTTTGAAAACAGTTATAATAATTTTAACATCATAACATATTGTATCAGTTTGCGGTCATATTTTGCATGTATTCTTTCTACTTATTTACTTTATCTTCTTAACGATTCCTTTAACACATATCCTTAAAACTGTGATATAGAAATTTTTTCGATGACATTGTACAAAGGCAATACGAGGTTTCAGTTAATTCTACATGTAGTACAAAAATGTCAGTTTATTTTCATGCAATTGTAGAGAATCCAGTTTCTGAAGGCAATGGTATTTATTGATAATTCTAAGAAGATTTTTATTCAGCGTTGTTCAAAAAGTAATGGGCATTGAAACATGGTGATGCTTTTTGTACACACATCAACTGTTATTCAAATCAAAATTACGTTAGGATACTGGAGTATTAATATTTATTTAAAATATCAAAAATAAAGGTTGTGCATTTTTACATAACACAATTAAAACTGCCTGTCTCCAGATCAGCCAGATATTTCAAGAGAATTAAATTTGAGAAAAAAGTACTAAGATTTTAAGAAAAGTTAAAATATTCAAGATTCAATTCATAATTTATATGTAATGTGTGATAAATGACTGACTGCAGTATTCATCATCATATTTCTATTGCATGACTAACTCGGTAAGCACTATTTTTGCACATTCTGACCTATTTATTATAATATTCGTAAATTGTATGTGTAAATTACATTCCTTGTTCACTTGAGAGTGATTTAATTTTCAACACTTTTTAAAAGAAATCATAACAATTACTATGAATCTTGAGGCATGCTGCTTTAAGTTTAGGGAATAATAGCCTGTGATATGGATGTACATATGAATCTATATTTATTGTGTTTTTATCACCTCTTTTTTATTTTTCTACTTTTTCATTAAAAAAAACTTTAAACTTCAAAAACATATCTGATTAGTGCATTGTTATGTTCGAATGGTTGTCTGTATAACCTTTTATCTGTTTTTAATAAATCATTATCAAGAAAAAAAGAACTTGTGTTGTTTTTTCATAATGGAATCTGCATAGCTACTTTGTCCAATTTAATTCAGGTCTGTGTTTGAAACGTATATCTATTTGAAATCGTTTGAAAATTGAATAGGCTGAAACTTTCATTCTTCTCCAATTCTCATACTATTTTAAATGGATATTCCTCCTCAGTGCTGTCACCACATCACCACATGTAGCCCCCAAGATATTAATTCGTATCTCATTACGGAGCTCAAGTAATTGGAATACCGCATGTTAAGCCATTTGTCCCAACAAGTCATTGCCCCTTGTTTGATTGAAAAACTGACTTAATGACAAACCTTGTTTGATACATAACTTTAAGTGAAGGAACAATGACCATGTCTTCTCGAGTCTTTCAAATGCACGACTTAATCCTATCAAATCATTCGTTGTTTTATCGTATAGTTCTTGTAGTCTAAAATTTTATAAATTGTTGCAGATACGGGTAATCATTCTTTAACTTACGGACATGCTTCATATATTTTCTTCCGTCATTTCTGGCCAATAAAATGAATGACAACATAAACTTAGTTTGAGTTATTCAAAAAAAGAGAGAAATAAAGAATCCCTTAAGAAATCTCAACAAGACAAAATTGAAAATGTTGATTGAGCCTGTTCATGGACGGTACTGGAAAGTGCAAGTTACCGTCCACGCCCCCAGGTACCGGCTTATGCAGAATTCAACATTTAATCATGGTAATGGTGAAATTTTGAATTTAGAAACATCCGCGGCGGTTATCAGTCATACAAACAGACAATACGCTGATTCAAAAGTAGAATCCCTACCTTCCGTTAGCCAGATAGACTGTTTCCTTCTATGAAAGAGCTTATAACCCCAAAATATATGGTGAGCAAGGTTCCCACGTTTACAATTTTTTGTAAACGTTTACACGATTGCTAAGAACCGAAACGATATACCCGTTTAAAACGGTGTGGCACCTCTATGTACTATACACACCATGTATTTTGAGTCGGCCAAATTATGTCTTGCTTTCTATTTTTTTTAATGCATGTAACAAATAAAGAATGTGCAGGGCTCATCACAATTGAGTCAGCACACATTTTTCTGCGTTTGAGTCAGCACAAATTGTATCCCCATTTTTTTACCAAAAATGTATTATGTCACGAGCAAGTTTTGGCCACGGTAAATGC